CACTGGAAAAAATCGCGCGCTTTAAAGGTTGTAAATTTGATGTATATATGATGTAAGTGTCCAAAATGATGTAAATTTGATGTAAATCATTTCCATCAAATTTACATCATTTTGGACACTTACATCATATTTCCATCAAATTTACAACCTTTATGGCGCGCGATTTTTTCCAGTGATACGAGATCATATTTTAAGTTGCGCTCGACATAATTCGTGCTTAGTTTGGGCGCTGTTCGTCAATTCGTTGCTGAGGCAGAGCCAGAATACTTTTAAAAAGTGTAGTTTTAGTGCTAGTCTGCCCATCTGACGGATACGAATGTCGAACGTCGTATCTCAAAAACCTGTCCAAAGAATCTTTTTAAATTTCTTGAGCAGGAAGCCGAATCCCCTCTTTATGTTTTTCGTTTGGTCTTTTCCGATTGAAATGTTTGGACGGACGTAGTAAAATTATCAAAAATGTTAATTTTGTGTTTGYTATTTCGCCAGATGATTGTACATTATGCCGAAAGCCTTTGTTGACATTCTTCATTGCTTTATAAAACAATAGCGGGATTAAAAGTTTCTTTCGTAATGGTCGGTACTAAAAACAACTGTCCCCAGATACCTTAAATTGAATTGATTACAAACTAGACGCTCTTGGAGCGTGAAATCGGGCTAGCTATTTTTGAAAATTGAGAAATTACTTGGATTTGCGAATACGTGAAGAGCGAAAGAGTTCAACACGATAAGATAAAATTTGTATCTAAAAAACATGTAATATTCTGACAGTCATATAATTATATATGAAAGTAAATTATGGCGTAGAATACCTTATCTAGTTTGTTTATTCGCTGCAGATTTCCTGTGGTATTACGTCATTGACCCCACGCGCGGGTATCGAATCAGCGCGCGCTGCCCGTTACTTGTGGTATTACATCAAGATCCCGTGCCTCACGGGATACAAACTAGTCCACAGGTAGCCCAAGCACTACACTTGTCGGCTTTTCTCTGAAGGTCTTGTGGGGAAAAAACGAAAAATTCAATAAAAGTAGGAAATCTTCATAAAATGAATTCAAACTCACACAATATGTTGTTCTTAATTTATTACACATCTATGCTAAGTTTCAGCTCTCTGCAGTCAAAAAACTGCTTTTTTTCTTGATGTTGGTCCCCTAGATAATAAATACTATTTAAGTAGTGTAGTGCTTGGGCTACCTGTGGATAGATAGATAGATAGATAGATAGATAGATAGATAGATAGATAGATAGATAGATAGATAGATAGATAGATAGATAGATATATTGAAGAAAAGGTAAAACTATAGTCGTACTAGCCTACAGCTAGCCCGACTAATGAAGCATTCAATTCCCTCTTGCTGTAGATCCGCTTTTAGTACAAATTTGTACTACTTAGATTTTGTACAGTTGCACGCTGTGCGATCACTCTAGAGTAACACTGTACCATGTCTGGCTAATTTAACAATTTTTAATGCAATGTTTACCTACTTACATGTAATTATCAATTTGAAGTTCTGTGAAATCAATTGAGCTGTTCTTATCACTTAAATTGATTCTTCACAGTGAAATGAAATACGCTAAACTGAACCTATAACAAGCATTTTTATTGATTTATTTACAGTAAATACTTTATAAAATGCAGATTTTTAGATTTTTTAGAAATTATGATATTCTTGTTCTCCTTGGTACTTTCTCAATATTTTTTAATATTGTCTCCTTTAGTAGATTTTATATTTAAACATATTTTTAATGGAAAAATTTCTACTAAAAAATGGACATTCTTTAGGAAATTTGAACCGATGTACATAGTTAATATTTAGATTTGTGGTAATAAAAATATTATTTATTTCAAAATTAATTTGTCATGAATTTTAGGGGACATTTATTTGAGGATTTTTTTCTAGCCTTGTTTCCATGTTGAGGAAAAGTTTGTCAARGTTAATGGCATTTTTCATCATTGATTTTGGACATGTTACAGAGGACAGTAGAGTGAACGTACTTAATCCGTGAAACAAATAGTACTAATTATAACTACTAAATAGTGTGGATTATACA